TTCAGTGGACTTGACTGGATGGAGACCTGACTGGATGGATATGGAAAGGATGTTTCCTTTCGTGGGAGAATCTAGATCTGGGGGCCATAGTTTAAAAATAAAGGGTCACCGTTCAAGATAGAAATAAGGAAACATGTTTTCTCTCAGAATTTTTAAATATTTTTAAAACAGAGGTTGATAGGTTATTAATTACTAAGGAGATGAAAGACTATCAGGGATATATGGGAATGTTGAGTTGAAGTTTAAAATACCAGAACAGCCATGATTCTTGCTGGCTTGAAGAGACAACTGGCCTGGTTTGTATGTTCCTTGTTTGTATGTTTGCATGTAAAACTAGGTAGTAATAAAAAGGCTTTACTGAGAGACAATATTATGGAATTTATAGAAAACGCAGCTTGGCAGTTCCTGTTAAAGACTTTGCACATTTCCAAAGATGGCCCAGCTCTGGGGTCCAACTTAAATGAGCTGGACACTGAAGGCGTGAAACTTCTTTCTGTTCAGGAATTTGGCTGGATGATACTAGGAATCTCTGAATACCACATTGGTGCAATAAATGGCCACCTGTACCTGAGGATCCCCAGCAATGGGCAACAAATCCGATGACTCGGACACCTTGGCTCTCTGGGTGCATTGGTGAACTGCTGAAGGCACTTGTGAGCTGCCAATTGGAAGATACCATTCATGTCTTCAGTTGAAGTTTGAAGGGAGCTGGCGTGCTGAGATCTTCAATAGCACAGCTACAGTGCCCAAGGCTGCATGCAGGACATGACAGATGTAGGTGATGGAATCCCTACTCATGTCCAAACATGTACTAGTAATACATTTCACTCATCTGTGCGTAGCTGCAACGCCTTCCGTATCACCTCTGTTGATTTTCTGCTCAGCAACACTGAAGACCCTGGTTCCTCTCTTCAGCCACTGCATGTTCATTCACAGCTGTAAGCCCCTGATGCCCGAATCTCTGGTTCTTTTGGTGCTGGGCATTCCTCCTTCTCATGCTCCTCCACCTTCTAAACCTCAGCAATGCTAGTACAGCTGCTGGGGTAAGTTGGTCAAACATCTGGCATGGAAGCGCTGACTGGTGAAGACATTTCAAGAATGAGATTTTGTTTACCCGTTTGAGACCTTGACCCAGTCAAGCTACCGTTTAGGACTTTGTTAGGATGTTAAGCATTGGATGACAATCTGCTCTACAGCCACCTCTACATGGTAAAGTGCATCCTTTATGACCAATGATTGTGTTTCCTCTTCCTTCATTATGCCATATGTATGATCACTGTTGCCTTAAGCTTTACATTGCTTTCCAATCCGGCTCTTGGCTCTTTCATTATGCCCTACAGTCCAGGCTTACAACCTTGGAATTTACAGCCTGCATAATGGTTTCGCGCCAATGTTCTTAACTTTCAAAAACATACCCTGTGTATGCTACTGCAAGGTTGCATGTGGAATAAACACCTCCCTTCCCCCCCACCAACACTACCATTGTTGATGAGTCTTAGGTTACCTTCTTCTCAGAGTTAAATGAGTCACAGGATGTGGTTGGGATGTTGGTGTCAGGAGTTGGTAGGTTTATTCATCTATTCTGTAATGCATATCTCCCTCCTGTGCTAAGGTCTTAACTGAGCGCTAGCATAACAGTATTCTTCAGTTTCTGTTTCAATTCTCTCAGTTGGGTGTTTGTCATGTGCGGGAAATGCCTATTTGCCCAACTGTGCAGCCCATCTGAACTGTAAATCCTTTGTGAGGTCTTCTTTTGTGGAATGATTAATGAGAGAGACGGTAGTTGTAAAATTTCCACTGGATTTATTTAACCTCTAATCTCCCCCTTGCAGTACACTTTTCCCTCCATCACTATAGAAGCCTTTCTTCTTGTGTCTGGTAGCCCCTCTGTCCTCTTTCAATCACCCCATGACAAGAGTAATTTCACAATAATCCTTAATATGCTTGCTCTTCTCCCAATCCCGCTCCCATCCAGATCCCCATGCCCAGTCCTATCCTTACACCGTGCCTTATTTAATTCACCTGCTCTTTGTCCTTCCCCAGTGTACCTAATCACCCCGTTGTGTTCACCAACCTAAATGTGCAGCTTTAACCCTTCCTTTCCCAACTTGCCCCTATCACTGTGACTCTCTCATTTGCATCCAAGTTTCCTCCCTCTATTCCCCAACATTCTTTCAGTCTCCCTAACTACCATGTCCTTTAAAATTCATTCCTTACCATACCTGTCTACCCAACTCATCTTTTCCTGAGATAGTAGGAACTGCAGATGCTGGAGAATCCGAGACAACAAGGTGCAGGGCTGGATGAACACAGCAGGCCAAGCAGCA